TCGCCTTGCTCCAAACACAGACAGCTCCCTCTGCCTGGCAAGGGTCATACACACCACCCAGTGTTGGGTCCTGCACCTACAAGGTCCCTGCTCAAGCCACCTTCTCAGCCCACACCAAAATCTGTGCATAGCAAATGGGGTTATTCACATTCTCTGTGCCACACTGTTGTAGGCCATGGCCCTCACAAGCCAGGCAATCCCCCAAATGTTCCCTGCAGAAGGAAAAGGTAGTGAAGTTCAGCACATGGAAACACCAGCGTTAAGTTCATAGTATCTTTTATTAATATATTATGCTACAAAAATATTTTTGGCAAAATAACATTAATAGCATCTTTCTTTGTCTTCTATTATACTCTTAAAGAACTCTTCATGACATTTCACAGGGGCGAGGGAAGAGGTGATAAAGAACACCACAAGTATGGTGAGAGCTGAAGCCAGCTTGGTACATTGAGGCACAGTGGGATAGCCAACAAATCTGAGACTTCGAGCTGGGCAAAGGTTAAGGCCAGCCTCCCCACCCAGAGTCAAGAGCTCCTCCCACCCAGTCTGGCAACCAGAGAGACTCCTGCCTAAGAGTCCCTGGTCTCTCACACCAGGCACTGCAGACTTGGATCCCATTCAAAACCACAATCCTCAGGGCAGGTCTAAGGATGGAGGGAGCCTTTAAGTAATGCTTTCTTGTCTGCCACATGTTCCCATCATGGCAGCTGTGAGGCCTACCTGGAAAGCTGGTCTAGGGAAGGGTGGAACTCCAAAGAGACACAAGATCATATGCAGAATTCCTTTTCTGGCCCCAGAAAACTCTCCCTATGGTCCTTGAGGAAATGGAGGCTCAAAGAGGAGTAGGAGGCTACCCAATGTCAGCAAGAAAGGGAAGATGCATGCCACCTCCAGTGGGGAAAGATCCCAGTCTGCCTTTGGGGACAGGCTGTGAGGAGCTGACATTCCTTGGAAAGGGCCAGGAAGGGGCCCAGAGGTCCTTATAAGCCCTGCCTTTCCTTCCCCAGGGTTGGGCACAGATGGAAGGGCTCTGGGTTAAAGCCACAGGCAGGGGCAGGGGTTCAATCCAGTCCTCTCCTCCCCCAGAGATCCCCTGCCCAAGGGCTATAGGTGTTTCTGCCAGTTCATGGCAAGTCTGGCTGGGCTGTGGAAGAGTGGGGGAGGGGTGGCTGGAGGCTTGACTGAGTCCTGAATCTACAGGCTTAGACAGCCAGCCAGGGTGATATTTTTGGCTGCTTAGATGAATTTTTGAAAAAATAACAACGTTTAAAGAACCTGAGCCTTACAGAGCCAGGGGGCACCGCCATGTCATTTACACCAGTCCTTTGCCAAGACTTCCAGCTGGCTACCAAGGCTGTGGCCAGTGGGCCTTGGGGCCTTGCATACAATGCCTCTCCCTCCACCCAGAGAGCTCTGCCCCAGGTGCTGTCCTCTACCAACTGGGGAGGTAGAGGCTGCCCCCAAAAGAGAGCCAAGGCTCTTTCCTCCATCCTAGCTCCAAACCTCTCTTCCTTGCTTCCCTTGTCCCTCTCAAACCATCTTTGGAGTATCTCCTTTGTGTTGAAGGACATTAAAAACAAAACAAAACAAACAAACAAAAACCTGACACATGACCTACCCCATCAAATGATTTGCATTCCCAACAGGTAGCAAATTCCTATCTAGACAGCCCAACTCTGGAATGTGGGCATGGTAACAGGGAACCTCCTGGAGCTAGTGCTACCCGGGTTATCCTTATAGGATAAACGATTGGGAGAAGAGAAGAGACCCTCTCCTGGGAGGCAACATGTATAAAACACTGTATATTCTAGAAATAACCAATATGATCCCATCTGTCAGGTCTGGGATGGGAAGGATGAGAATGGCCAGCAAGCTCAGCCGAGCCAGGTCATGGAGGGCCTGGAATGCCAAGTGGAAGGCCTGGTGTTTTTCTCACAGCTATCACTACCCCTGCCATCCAGGATGTCATCTAGCTACAACTACCACATAAAATGTCACCTTTTTAAAGAGATTCTCTTTTGGTAGCACGCCTCTTCTTTGGGATCTGTTGTGACAATAGAGCCAGGAGGAGTGGTGGGTCAAAGTACCTGGGCTCCCAGGCTTACCCAAGTCTAGATGAGGCCAGGAAGTAGTAGGTGATCAGACTCCATGTGAGGAGGATGTGTGTGTGTGTGTGGGGGGCGAACATTCCAAGTCACCCTCAGTCCACACATGGCAGACTCTGCATCTTTGACCCTGGGGATTGGCCCCTGCACCTCCACGATTCTTTTACCCTCAGCATGTGCTGGTCAATTAATCTGCTGGGCTTCTGGCCGTCCATCTTTCTGTCTGCCTCAATGTCAAAATGAAAGTCCTAAAAGTACTCAAGGAACTCTCAAAGGAATAGGGCCTTGTGTTTTATGAGTCCAGCTTGATGGGACATGAAGTCTGAGAAATTGTTGATGAATTACTGGTGTTTTTGGAGCAGGATTGGAAGTTTAAGTGGCCTAGCCATACATTCTGTTTTTTGTGCCTAGGCCTCCTGGGATGTTGGCCAGTAAAGTTGAATTTGCTCCTTACTCCAACCCTGGCTTAATAGAGATCTCCAGGGATCAGGAAACTTTGGCCCTAGATGTTTGACCAACAACTGCTCTCTTTTCTAAGTCCATACCAACCTGGAAATTTGTTGATCAGTTGGCCTAGCCAACCCTTCCTTCCTTCCTTCCTTCCTTCCTTCCTTCCTTCCTTCCTTCTTTCCCTCCTCCCTCCCTTCCATTATTTTTCATATAGGGTCTGGCTTTGTGGCTCAAGCTGTTCTAGAATTCACTTTATTTCCAAGGCTAGACCCCTATGGTGCTTTTACTTCAGCTGCCCAAGATCAGTCGTTACAGGCATGTACTCCTAAACGTGGCAATTGTCTTTCTTTAAAAACTTTAAAGTAGGGTTGAGAAAAAGAGTTTGGAACACTTCCTTCACTTTGAATCTTCCTTAAGAAGGGATCTGGAAAGACAGTGGGGAGAGACAGTAGCCCGAGGTTGGGGCTGGGACAGCAGTGGCCCAGGATGGCTCCACCAGTCCCACCCTGACGATGAACTCTTCTGGGCCCAGGAGGGTGGGTACAATTCAGCTCGTATGTGTAACCCTGGCACCATGCTTCCCCAGTGATTACATGCTGCATTAATTCACCATTTTGGCCCTATGCCTGGCACAGGTCTGGGCACACAGTCAGGTGCCTGGACTGTTTCCCCAAATGCTTCATCTTTAATTAACCTCAAGCTTGATCTCCGTACATCTCATGCCATACTCTGCCCCAAACAGGGGAATCTGGCCTGTGTGTTTCCAATTCCTTTACACTTATCTCATCCCAATAGCGCTCTGCACAATCCGTTTGATGTCTAACTTCTGAGCCTGCTTTAAAAGTCAGCTAAGCCCCTTCCCGCTCAGCAATAGGAAGTCACTTTTTTTTTTTTTTGCCAAGGATAAACTGACTCCAGTCCTGGTTGAGGTCAAGTTCAGTTTACAGTGTGGTGCCCATGGGGCTGGCGGACCCTGTGAGGCCGAGTTCCAGAATCCTGCCAGGTCTCAGGCTTAAACCTGCCCACTGGGGCAGAGCTGGAAAGAATTCTGCTGCCTGCCAGGATGCCTGTGGGACCCCTGACTATCCAATGAGTTGCCCAGAATCCTGCCATCTCAAAAGGGAGATGTCTGCCAACCTGAGAATGGCGGTGCCTCAGCCAACCAGGCGCCATCGAGCCTGCCAGGGAAACCCATGAGCAGTGAGGTGAGAAAACAGGACTGGAGTCAGCATGCCCGTCCTAGCTATGGCACCTTGGAGAAGTCTCTCCTCTTTCTGGACCTTTGTGTTACTCTTACTGCTGTTGACAGGTGAGGGGTCTTCCTGCTCTCAGGATCTAGGACTCCTTACATAAGCAATGAACCACAAGCCCAGCTTTGAGCTGTAGGCTGCAATTCAGCCTTACTGTGTCCCCAGTCAGCCCCTGGAGACAGGAGGGTCTCTCTGTCTCAACTCCCTGCCTGCCCATACTGGCTCCTTATCCTGCTAGAGCCCCCTGGCTGCAGGGACCAGCAGGAGGAGCTGGTGAAACAGCCCCCTTGCCTGCCATGGGAAGCCAAGGAGGATTCCAGTTTGGGAGCTCCAGGCGCTTCTCCAGACGGGAACAAGGACAGAACATAGCCAAGAGACAAGGGTTGTTCTTGTGTCACACTGATCTGGGCGTGGGAGCACACCTTGGGTGGATCTTTCCCCCTCTTTTGGGGGGTTCAGTGTCATCATCAAAATGGGGTTCATCACATCTCACAGCATTAGTGTGAGGATCTATGGATAAGGGAGAACACAGAGAGCCCACCTGCTGGCTTCTGGCCCAAGTCCCCCCCCCCTTTTTTAACCATTGCCATTACAATTGCTGACTCCTGAACACTCCATCACCCTAAAAACGTCCTATGCCCACTCCTGTCCTTCTGTCCAGCTCACCTCACTCAGCTGTGCTTTTAGCAGTCCCTCTTAAATAGAAGCTGAACAAGTACCACTGGAACATAGATCGCCCACTTGCTTTGTGACTTTGGGTAAACCCCATTCACTTTTTGGGTCTCTGTGTAGCTATCTGACCACGGGACTGGGTTCACTTGCCTCAGCACCAATCTCCTTCTTTGATGGAAAAACTCACCAGGAGCTCTGGTGGGCCAGTCCAGACACTCAGGACTTCAAAATAGCAGCATTCTTTCTTTTTTAAAAAAAATTGTCCCTCCAGGGCCTGGATACATCTGGGGATGAGGAGGATGGTTGGCCACCATGCTTCTGGCTATGAAATTCAGTTTCCCAAAAGCATGGGGCTGCCCTTAGAGGTACCTAAGGTGGAAGAAGCCAAGCCTGACTATGAAGCTTGGGACCAATTCAAAGCCATAGTCTACACAAGTCACAGAGGTCATAGGAACCTGGGCTCCTTCCCTGGGTTGGTGTTGGGGCTAATTCAGGGAGTATAACATGGGCTACATAAAAATAGTTTTATCGGTAGAATAAATACACTTTCTCTTTTAATATGGACACATATTTTACAAAAGAGTCCCATAGCACTATGGGAAATTAAGACCTTCTACAAAAAAGAAGAAGTAATTTGGGTACAATAAAGCTCTAGTGTTTTAAAGTCCCTGTCCTGTGTGAACTACCTCAAGATGTCAGCACCCTCTGAGGTGGTGGCAGATGGTGGGCATGGTCACAGATTGCTGTGGTTTCTCTGGCTTCTGTGCATTGGTCAAGGTCAGGAAGGCCCAAGGGTGTGTAGTAGGAAGGGGGCAACAATGGAGGCAGCGATGGCAGGGGGGAGGCCCAGTGTAGGTGCTGAGTTGCTGGTAGGCCCGGCAAGGTCCTGCTGCTGGAGCTGGTGTGAGGACTTGGCAAAGGGCTTGGTGGTCCCGGAGCTGGGGGTTGGCTGGAGGGGCAGCGGTGGTGGCGAGGCAGTGGTGCTGGAAGGGGGAAACAGTGACTGTCAGCATCCTCCTCCTAGGAAGAGAGCTTGGGGTTCAGCTCTATATTCACTAGATATCTTAGGGAAGAGGAATAGTCTAGAACCCCACAGCTAGCTCACCTCCAAGGACAGGCTGAGCCCACCTGTGACCAATCATGAGGGTGGATCCCAGGCAGAAACAACTGCAAAGTCATGGAGCAGTGAGCTCTGAGTTTCCCAGAGTACAGATTCCACCTGTCTACAGGTCTTCCGCCCCTTGTTGCTCCTTCCAAGGTTGCTGAAGGTGGCAGAACACACACACACACACACACACACACACACACACACACACACACACACACACACACACCCCTTAATTTTCACCATATCATCCTATCTGCCTTGGTTGGAGCTTCCCTCATGCCAGCTGTTCAAACAAGATTTCCATAGTCATAATAAGCCCTCAGAATGGGTCTTACCACCCACTTTCAGCAATGTGGGACTTCAAGGGGGGGCTACTGGTAGCCAGGTTTTGGGCAAAGCAGGTTTGTACACCCGTGGGGCAGGAGAGAAAGACTGTTGCCTCTCTCAGAGGAGGCAGGCATGGTGCTCCTACAGAGTATGCATACAACACAGGGGTGAGCCAGGGGTTTCCACAGCACATTTTAGCTCACAGAGCCCAGTGCGCTTTGCTTTATGCCATGCTGGTCTCCAATCACATGGGGCCTGTCACCATCTCACTATAACTGCTTTACCTCTACCTCAACGCCGTCATATCTACTGTCTTGCTGTTACTGGCTCCCTCACCTCTAGAGACTTGCCCTACTACCTTGAAGAGTGAAGAAATCACTCTCCACTTCCCATTGACCTCATGTTCATAGTGGGACTTAGGCTATGTGAGGGTTGAAGAAATGGGTTTCTACTGAGAAGTCTCATAACAGTGTCTGGCTCTGGGAAGTGTCAGAAGGCAATTTTCGTGTTTTGTTTTTTTTAAAATGATTGTTAATATTTTTGTGTCTCTGCCACTTCCACTAACAACTTTCCTCATTTACAGTGTACTTCTGAGTATAGGCAGGCACCATGCTTAGTGCTATACCTATGCCATATTGCTATTTTTGTTGAGCTTGAAGGAGATGGGGATTCTTAATGAGATGAGATGCACTGAGGCCATCTGTTTCTGTAGCATGAACCGTGAGCATTAGTGAAGTGCATTATTTTCTGGTAAGACCTTGAACAGTGATGTGCACATTTCCAGGGTCAGACTGAGGCCTTGTTGGCTGCAGCCCCTGGGAGAGGTCATTACCTCAGCGTCTACACTCCCTTTCTTGTCTAATAAGAAAGAAAACTGCAAGCAACACACACACACACACACACACACACACACACACACACACACACACACACACACACACGCGCGCCCATGCCTAGCTGCTGCTGTATGTCCCAGGCTGGGTAGTTGGACGGTTTTAAGGGCTAGCTTCAGGGCACTGGGCTAGATGCCCTGTGAGGTGGCTGGAGCCAGGGCCCAGGCTGGACTAGGCGGGCAAGACCAAATGGGAATTATGTCTCACAAGGCACCTATAGGCATTTTCTTTCACACTTTGAAAAATAAAGATGAAAACTCTCCCTTGGAGCCCAAGTGGGGTTTTATTGCTTGGAAAGAGTCCCAGGAAAATGGAGTGGGACTGAGGAGGGGGACGAGCCCCTCTGAATGCAGCCTCCCTCCTTCCTTCCTAGCTTATTCAGCTCACAAAGTTGGTCCCCAGTCCAGGTCCCCACCCCCTTCCAGGCTCATGTTGGGGAAAATCGTCTCATGGCACAACGGTCTAGAGGCCAAACCAAACACACTGCACATTCCCAGGCTCTGCAGTTGGCTGGCACTGGGGGCTAAGTCTGCTCAGAACTGACAGGACCCCAAGTGTGGGAAGGCCCCTCTGGCTGGCTAGAAGACAGCTCTGTGCACGTCTGGGTTATCTTCTTGGCTTGATCTGTAAATTTGGGCCAATACTGTTTTTGAGGCCTCAGTTTCCCAATCTATACAAAGAAAGGGCAAGGACGTAGTCAGGGACTTTAAACTGATTTCCAGCGGTAAAAGCCTGAAGTAAGATCACCCACTGGCAGAAATCCAAAGGAAAGTGTAGACAAGTGAGGCCAGTGCCAGGCACCATGTCAGTTGCCACCCTTCCTGGGGTTCCCTGGAGCAGGGATGGATTCTCGCACTAGAGTTCTGTAGGAGCCCTCCAGGACTTGGCACCGGGCATCACTGACATTCATATTCTTGTTAATAGGAGGAGCTGGTGCCTAACTAGGGGCACAAGTGTACTTTTTGCTCATTGAAATCCAAAGATGAAAGCCCCCCCACCAAAGCCTAGAGTTTTTTATTGCTTCAGTGGGGTCTCAGAGAAATGATGTGGAGAGTTGAAGGGGACCAGACTCCAGTTAGTTATCCCCTCAGAGACTCTCATAGGACCAGCCTCCAGTTCCCTCCTTAGAGAGATGCAGGGGCCCCAACCTTGAAGAATGCAGGGCTTGGATGACAGAATCCTCCATGCCATTGTTGGAGGAGAACTTGTAATTCTCAACTGGATTTTGTCCTCTTTGGACTGATACATCAGATGTAGGCAAAGACACAACTTGATTAGGTTCCTGCTGCTTCCCCTGACCCTCCACCCAGTACCTGGAGCCCCCAGCCTACACATCTTGTGCCATGACTCCTTCCCCAGGAATGCCTTTACCCTTCCCTCAACCTTGCAGACTGTGGGCTAACCGTCTGATGTGTTCTAACAGTGGGCCAGAGGGGGAAGGAACTTTCCATCCTGAGATGAGAAATGGGCCCATAGATTGGAATTGCCAGGGTCTTGTAGAGCTGAGGCTCCAGGGTCTTTCTAGTGACACTATCTTGGGAGCCATATGTCACTGTCTGCCACCAGCACTAATCCACAGTAATGGGTGATAGGTGTGTACCCAACTCGTCTTTGCTACACTGGGGGTGGTGTTCCACAGCTCCCACCCACTGGCTTACTGATGGCTTTAAGTCTAAGACACATTGAAGGCCCCAAGAAGCAGCCTGCTGGGGGGACTGAGTCTGAAGCATCCTGGAACAGGGACTCTGGGAGTAACACTAGAAGCCCCCACTTCAGGGTCACTATGGGGCTGATCTCGGCTTTACAGATATCTTCTTACTGTGCAGTGGGACTGCAATACTACTGTGGTTCTTCCGGTAGTTTTTTTCATGATTGAGTGACTTCGTTCTCCAATCCTCACAGGACACCACTCACTTCAGGTGTTTTGTGTGTGTGTGAGAGAGAGATGTTAGCTACTGCCCCACATTGTGAGGAATGAGAGGGATACCTTGAGCAGGAAGGGCAGCTCAAGAGGATACAGAGCTCTTCTGGAGGTGTACCGTGTTCCCTCCCAGGCTTTGACATCTGCCCCGTGTATGGCCTGTACTTGCCTAGTGGCACTCACTAAGGCTCCGTGTCTGTCACATACTCATGCTTACTATGGGCCAGGCTTTGCCCAGCAGTTGGAAGGTGCTCTCTACACCTGTGCATCCTCAATGTGCTTACAACCCAGATGTGCCAGCCACTGTGCCTCCATCTCTCTCTCTCTCTCTCTCTCTCTCTCTCTCACACACACACACACACACACACACACACGCACGCACACGCACACACACCTGTGTGCTTGCAGACTTGGGGACATGGAATATGAGAGCTGGCATAACCTCCAGAAACTAGCCAAGGCCCTAATGGAGCAGGAGTCACTTTAGGATTGCCACAGGCCCATATTTTATGGGAACGTTCTCTGTCGTGGCTTGCCCTGGTCACACCTTTCCCTGCTGTCTCTGTGTGCACTCAGAGGTAAGGGATTCCTGAGAATGCTCCACTGCCATGAGTCCATCTGTGGATACCCTCGGCCCTTTCCACGGGTTCCCATAAATCATCCTGCCACAGGCTGCTGCTACTCTAAACTTCCTCTGCTGTGTTTACATCTTGGGATAATGAGGGAGGAAGGCGAGCCTGCTCCAGGTGGTGTCCTAGGCAGGCACTCACAGTCTGCATCCCTGATTCCCTCCTCCTTAGGCTCAAGCATAAAGTCAAAGACCCTTCCCACCTAGTGAGGCCTCGGGTGACCTGGAGCCATGCAAACCAGATCTGTGCCCAGGACTCCCCAGCCTGGAAACAAAGGCAAAGAAATGTAGTGTGGGCAATGGTGCCCAGAAAAGTGCTCCCATAGGTGGCTAGGGCAGATAGGACAGCTCAGCCAGGTGAGGATGGGAAGAGCACTGAGATGGTGGGAGGCGAAAACGAGCCTTAGAGTTGGATGACAGTTCTGAGTCTCCATCCCTCAGCAAGGTCACAGATCTGGATGGCTCCGATTCCTACCCTGAAAAGCAGGCCTGCTTTATGTGACTCTTAATGGGACTATGAAATGATGGATGTAAGTGCCTGGCGCAATGGGATTTTTAGGAAGGCCCTAAAGCAGAGGGAAGCAAGTATGATAGCATGGGGGAACAGGGTAAGGCCTATGGCGGCACATAGCCAGTGGAGAGGAGCCAGTGGAGGTAGAAGGCAGAAAAGAAGGTGAGAACCCTGAGGCAGGCATGAGCATAGCCCAGAAGACCCCTGGGGGCCCTGCTGTAGTAGTGTAGGCAAAAGAGAGATGGGCAAGAAGTGGAGAGCCAGCTCCAGCCAGATTTAAGAACAAAGTGAGAAGGGGAATAAAACAAAGCTCTAAGAGAGCTGGCATGTCAGAAGGGCTCCAGATGAGCTCTATCTTGTCCTCTGCCCCCTCTCAGAAAACTGGAGACTTGGGGACTCTGAGAAGGAGGAATGAGTCCCTTGCATATGGGAGCCAGGAAGTGGCATGTACCAGTAGGTCAGCTTTTGGTTCCCTGGGAGTCTCGGGACAGGCCCTTCATCTCCATACCTTGCTTCATATTCATGAATGCACAGTTCGGCCAGAACTCCCTAGAGCTGCTTTGAACCTCCTGGGACATACACTTCAGGCCTCTGCCCTCTGCCTCTTATGCATGAGGCCTGTGTGGGGCTGAATACTTGCTCATTTAACAAGTAAGGTGATTCTATTTGGTATGCTAAGGAAAATCCTAGGTCGCATTAAGATCTAGACTGGAACATCAGATCCAGGACTGGGCTGCTCTAGTGGGGGAAGACTCAGGTCCATTCCTGAGACATTCCTTAGTAACACTATTCCCTGTCTGTAGAGATTTCTGCCACACAGCTGACTTAGGAAGACTGCTCTGGAGAGGAGCTGAGTGCTGGGTGTTAGGCAGAATCTTGGAGCAACAGGAGTTTTGGTGACAGAATGATGGGAGATATCATTCTGTAAATATGCTTCTCTTATTGGTTAATGAATAACGCACTGTTGGCCAATAGGAAAGCAAGATAGATGGGACTAGGAGACTAGGAGGAGATCCAAGATGGAAGATGGAGAGAAGAACGCCAGCCCCTCTCTCCGGTAAGATGAGACCACATGGAAATACTTAGATTAGTAGAAATGGGTTAACCATTAAGACAGAGACAGCCAATAAGAAACATTAGAAACAGGCCAATAGCTTTGTATCTAATACAGTGTCTCTGTGTGTTATTTGAAGCTGGCATAGTGGTGGGACCCAGCCGGTGGGAAGAACCTACTCCTAACCACAGGCTGAGTGGGGGGGGGTTGGTGACAGGAGGATAAGGATGTGGGGGAGTCCCAGAACCTTAGGCTGTGTTCTGTACCTGCCTGTTTACAGAAAGCACAGTTACACTTCAGAGCCACAGCATCCATTGCCTGGTGTTCCTTTCTCTCACAGGGTGGGGGCCTCTCCAGGGTCTCCAGCTACAGTGACACTGCTCAAACATTCCCAGCACAGGGATTGACACCTTCTGACATATCCAACCTGCCATGTTTGCTCCTGATTTCATCTCCATCCCTGGGACAAATGAATCAGGGGCAGTAAGCAATTAATTACTGACTGCACTGGGGTTGAGACCAGGGCCTTTTGCATACCAGCCAGGCACTCAATCCTGATGTTACATCCTCAGACATCTTTCTACTTTTTATTTTGAGACAGACTCTTACTAATTACCCAGGCTGGCCTTGAACTTGTTATCTTCTTGTGTCAGCATTTCAGACCCCATGACACTTTCAAACTGAAGAGAATTATACTTGCGGTTATGCAGAGAATAAAACTCCAGAGTCGGATGTGAACATGTTCTATACACCCCCAAAAGATGCTCACGGAGATGCTCAAGAGTCAGGGAAGAGCCTCCCTCTAAGATTCCACTCCAACACCTCTGTCCCTGCTTGCTCACAGCAGGCTGATAACTAGCTCCTAGACAGCCTGTCCCTTCCCTGCTTACCTGTCCTCGATGCGGACCCAGAGGTCATTGAACTGCCTTGGCCGTTGGTGTTTGTTTAGTCTCTTGCGCCACTTTTGCCGTCCGAACTCCTCCAGCTGGCTAAGGCTGTCAGGGAGCAGGAGGTGTGGGGACAGAACTGGATCCTCCTCCTCAGGAGGGGTGGTGGGGGTTGCTGAGGTTGCTTTTGGGACTGCAGCAGCTGGGGTGGCTGGGGCTGGACTCGCAGGAGAGGTACTCTCGGGAGAAGGAGCTGGGCTCCCTGTAGCAGGGCTGCAAAGTGGAATAGGATGTGAGTGTGCCATGTGTGCAAGGGAGGATGCAGAGGGGATGTCTTCAAGGAAAGGTGAATGCCCCTGCTGGGACAGGCTGGAGGGACCCAAGGCAACCACTGTCTGTTACAGAGAGAACACCGCTCATACCCTGAAGTGGGAGACAGAGTAAATCACACGGTACATCAGGAGAACATGATCATGTGGCAGAGACAGGTGTGGGAGCTCGGGAATGAAGGAGCTGGTTGAAAAACGAGGTCTATGATTATTATTTGATCTTGATCAAGGTTTCACTTAGCAATACCCCTGGGGGGAGGGACTCTAGGTGAGTTATCTAACTTTGCTGTGCCTCAGTCTCCTGTAAAATGGGGGTATGATGGTCTTGATCTTCCCAGGGACATTTTGAGTTTACAGATGAACACAGGCGAAGGGCTTAGAACGGTGCCCGGCAGTGGTAGGCAGCCCAGGCCATTGAACAGTTGATGCTATTCAAGCTGCTTGCATGCATTGGATGTCTATGGATCATCTCTTGAATGGAGGCAGGACAGGGCTAAGTCACTAGAGCTCAACCCGAAGGCTGATATACACAATGCACATCGCACTTTATAACTCATGGCCCAGATTGTGGATGGGTAGCGCTTGGAAAGGGGATGGTAGAACATTGTTAGCTGCTTCATCAGGATGGCATGGTGGTGAGTGAGCATCACCATTAGGCACAATACCTGATACCCACTAAACCTCTCTGATGTGGGTCATCAAACAAAAGGACCTGACTATGCAGGCACTCAAGGGTCATTTAGTCATGCCTGTGGAGTTCGTGCTCAAAGTAGGGGTATGCCTCTCAGCATGCAGATATTCTCTTTTAATCTTTGCTTTCCTGTGGCCCCAAAGGAATTCCTTGGGGACATCTGGCCCTGGAGGGTTAAATGTGGTTTAGCAAACAGCTTGTGAGGGAGGTGGTACCCAGGACTGAAAGCAGCCTGTCCTCCCATCCCACCCTCACACTGCAACTGAGTGGGTGAGGGGCTTCTCTCTCTCTTTGAAGAGAAAAAGGCCATTGGCTCAGCTCATCCTCTCCCAGCCCCCATGGCAACTCCAGACTCCCAGGGCCCAGGCTATTGGAGATGCTGCAGCTGTTAAGGAGATAATTCAAAACAGTCAGACAAAAAGATAGCTACAGGAAGCACCTGTGGCCAAGGATGGCTTTTATTGTCGCTGCCTCCTCAGCTTCCCACCCCCCTCTGCCCTGCTAGTTCCTTCATCCCCTGCACTAGATACCAAGACTGGGAATCCCCTGAGCAGAGCCTCCAGCAGAGCCAGTGGGGGCAGAGGAGATCTCCTTCTGCAATGCTTGCACTCCAAGATGAATAGGAGCCTGCCTGCTTCCCCTGCCCTGCCTGGCCACACACAATGAGCTTCAAGGGAAAGGTCCTTGGGGGTGTGGGGACAAGGGTGAAGTGAGTGAACAGGAGGGAACTAGGGGAATGCCTCGACTCTGAGGCTACCTTGCATCCCTTATTCCTCAAATACTAGCCCCCTCCAAAACTTCTGGCTGAGCTTGGGGAAAGTGGTGGGAGGCTGGCAATGGAATCCCAACACTGAGGTTTATGACTTCCTTTAGAAGTCATGTGGAACTGGGCAGATATAGTATGGAGCAGCCTGCATTCTGGGGACCCAAGAAAGCTTCCTCTCTGAAGGTCAAGGTCTTGGTCATTCTTGAGCTCCTTGTGCCCAGAGTAGGTACAAGAAATAGTTAGGAGCCAAGAAAGGCCACAGAACTAGACTGTCCTACAAATATGTCTTTCAAGAGAGTTCACGATAGGCTCAGATGCCCTAACTAAGTCAGGAACATTTTTATCTGCCTTGCCAGGCTATGACAGTGAGTCAGAAACACAGAGTGAGCCCCATACAGAATGAGCAGCCAATACCACTTGTCTGCTTGTCTGTGACTAAGGAGGCCTTTTTCAGACTTTGGGTCTTGAAACCATGAGGACAGTGGCTGAAATCACAACAGGGCCATCCCTGTGGGTTGGTGAGAAGGTTCACTGGAGTATGAATCTCCGAATTTGAGGAGACTGACTCTTTTCAGGAGATCTCAAGTCTGGTTGATGCTTGATGCTGGGGTTATAGATGCCGAGACAGACAGCTGGGCCCTATCCTGGGGAAACTTCCAGGGTGCTGCTATGTGGGATGGTGCAGAATAGGAACCCACACAGGAAGAGGTTGAGAGGGTAGCTCTGTGGGCAAAGTGAGAGTGTCCCGGCAGGAAAGCTGGAAGCTAGGGGCACAGCCTGAAAAGGCAATGGGTCAGACACAGGGGGGAAACAGAGAAGCATGGGTGGCAGGAACGGCAAAAGGGCCATGCAGCAGAGTTGGACACAGGGAAGAAAACAAATGGGGGCGTCTTCTTCTCATGGCACCATCTTCATTCAGTGTCTGGCTGTCCTTTGACATTTTAGGATGATTGAGGTCACTCATGTCCCTGCCCAATCTGCTTGTATATAAACCCCAAGAATCTTAACAAGTCCTCATTCTGCTCCCATTCCCACCGCACCAGGCAGTGGCAACAAGGTTGCATATCAGCCTGCTCATCCCATCTATCACCTTCTAGCCACAAACCCTGGCCCAGCCTATTCCCGAGAGAGACCCCATCCCACAGCAGTCTGCTTCACAGATCTCCCTGAGGCATGATCAGGTTACAGGGGCAGTGACCACAGCATGTGGTCAGGCAGCAGTCAGCCAGCCAAATCTAAGATGCCACCATATACTCTGATGCTTACCTGTGGATGGCTTGGCCAGCAGGTGTGTGGTCCACCTCCAGTCCAGCCTGTCTTAGGACATCGATGACAGTGTTGTTCCCCAGAAAGTGAC